AAATATTAACGTTAACAATCGTACCGCTACGAATTCAATGAACCTTCGACAACTATCGATATCTTTTCACCTATCACCAATGCTAATTTAACGATTTTACCCTTTATCAACAACTCTTTATGGATTAACACTAGTAACATAGCAAACTACATGTATCATGTATCTGACGACATGAAGTCAGAAATAGAAATATGAAAACTTTTAACCACATCAGCTTGAATTGTTTCGATAACCATCAATAACCACCTCATAAGGATGTAACAGAAAATGAAGAATAATACCAACACACTAACAAATTTCCGGATAATATCATCTACCATTATAACAATTATGATAACGATACGACGATCCATCTCTAATTTTTAATGTTTATGCTAGTAATCTCATCCACCAAACCATTATTTATGCAAGAATATACTTCCCTCATATACAGGCCCTTTTTCGGCAATTCGTTTCTAATAACATTTTTATTTGTTTTTTTCGTAAATTTTATTTGATACAATGTAATTATAAAAATTGATACATTTATTTTCTCTTCTTAACATCGAATCTCTTTCCCTTATATTTAAAATATTTCACGCGTAATTTAGTCTCTTTTCAATTATTCTGACAAATTCCTCGTAAATCATACTTCGATTTATTATATTTGTGCGAATTCCATTAGCTTGTTGATTTATTTGATCTATTCCTCGTTTATTTTATTAGTTGTTCTGTTTGGTTTGTTTTTTTGTTCTGTTCTTTGTTTTGTTGCATGCACATATATGAAATGAAATGCATGCACGCACTTATTTAAATGAACTGTCATTTTTCAGATGGTCCAAACATTGTAGAGAGGTTTTAACCGTATGTCATCAGAGTTGGCACGAATGGAATTCGGACAATGAAAATTTGTCCAATACTTAGTGCCCAAAGTGTCCGATCAAAAGCAATGGACATATATTAATGTTCTTTGAATATCGAAATAGCCCGATTTGCAGATATCTTTCGATTCACAGGTGATGAATGATATCAAAATCATTAATGGTCAGTGGATATGTCCTCTGATCTGCAATGTAATACAAATTGAATTTTTCATAATAAGATTTATATAATATTATTTCTTCTTTTAATCACTAATTATTTATTATTTTTAAGAAATAATAATAATAATAAGTAGTTTAAAAGATGCTTATTTGTTATAATAAGCTTTTATTATATAATTTTTATCTCTTGTTATTTTATATATCCTTTTTTTACAAATATAATATAAGTTATATTTTAAAGATTCTTTAAAATAAATCAATTTTTTGCCTTTTTTTTGTTTGAAATTAGTAAAAAATAGCTCGTTAATCCTATTAATAATAAAATTTATTATTTCTTTTATAATTATAACGTTATTATATTATAATGAAATTCGATCAATTTAAAAAATCTCCTGCTCTTTTGGGAAAAAAGATAGCCAGAAATGGCGAATATCATTAAATGAGCATTAATCTATCTATTAATGGTGTTTGCCATTTCTCGCTATTTTTTTTCCACAAGAGCGGGAGATTTTTAAAGATCAGTCATCAAATATTATAACGAAATTTGACCAATTTAAAAAATCTCTCATTCTTGCATGAAAAAAGATAATGAGGAATGGCAAACACCATTAATGATAAGTGAATTCACAATATTAACAATAATATTTTATATAATTATGCTAGGTTAATGTTAAGTTTTTTTAATGAAAATCAATTCAGAATGATTGTATTATAGAGATTAATACATACTGATACGTATATAGTCTTGAGCATTCTTTTTATTCCCAAAAAATATAATCAAGTGTAATAATAAATAACTATACTGTTAATTCAAGAATAAATAGCTTGAAGAAGTTTTAAAAGATTATATGATTTATTAATAACACTAATATCAATATACTTTAAATTTTAACATTAATACATAGCAATAGAATATCTTATTACTATTTATATAATTAATATTCTTAATAAACTTTAAACTTATATAATAATAATATTCTATTTACATGATTAATTTTCTTAGCATTAGATTATTTTTTATGTCTTTTTGCTGATTTCTTTTCTTTTTGACATTTTTGCTGTTGAGCAAAAGTATCAACAATAATATTTTGCTCATATCAACCTGTTGTATTATGTTTCATTGATTTTTCAACATCTTGTTTGTAAATAGTTTATAATCGATCTTTTTCAATATCATAACATTCAAAAAGACATTGAAATCCTTCATCAGTATTTTGAGATATTTCTTTAAAAAGATCATGTTGAGTAAAATCCAATTGATTAATTGCTTCTAATAGTTAACTCATTAGATTTTAAAGAACTTCTTCACAAGATTTTATAGATCGATCTGTTGATATTAATGAATTTTCATTAACATATTCACTTAAAAGCAAATTTAACCATTCTTGCTCAGCTTGAACTGAAGTAATTCTTAATTTGAGATCTTTATGTAATCAAAAAACAGAAATAATATTTTGTTTTACAAATTTAACATCAAATCTTTTCAAAACCTTGTCAAAAGCAAAATAATAGCTTGAACGCATCAAATTTACAGAACTAACATATTTAAGTATTTGTTGTAAAATGAGATTCTTTCCAATATATGATAAAAAATATGTAACAGACTGAGTATAATTGCTATATCTTATGACTGGAAAGAGTGGAGAGAAAGAAATAAGATTTTCAATTTGCATATCATAGTTCTCATGTCAAATTTCTAGTTTATAACCCAACCATAGATCTGTTCAACAAAAAAACAAGTACCAAACTTTTACTATATTATTATTATTGTTTTGAATATCATTCATTTTTTTGAATTAATTTTTCATATATTGACAAAGAGCATTACCCACTGCAATCCATATTAACTCTAAAACACAACATGTAGTTATATAATCAACTGCCTTTTCAAGCTTATCTAAATATGATACTCCTAAACTAGTTGCCAAGTTGAAAATTCCATAACCAGAAAAAATACAAATTAATATAGTACACATTACTTTTAATGTATACCACCCTCCAAGTATTAAACATATTTCTGATTGAACCTCATGTAGTTTTGTTAATCTTTAGAAAATAGCTTCATCACATACCAAATAAAGATGTCCATTACAATCAAGTTCAACATTATTATAATATATTTTTGTCGTATTATGAATATTTTCATCACAATATGGATTCTTTCCAGGTTCTAAAATAATTATGTTTAGTAAAGTTACTTGACATCCTATTTGAATATCTTTTTTAATTTCTTGTCATAACTTATAAATATCAAAACTACTATTAGAATCCAAAAGTGAACTAAAAATATCTTCAAATTTTTGAAGTTCATTTTTTATATAATTTGACATTCCAATCTGAAATTCATATTGATATTTAGAAACTGAATTACATTTTTTGGCAATACTAGATAAAGACTCTGATAATTTGAATTGGAAAACCATTCAAAATGTAGCATGTACTGTACATCTTGTAACATCAAAAATATTATCATATGCAAATGTACTTTTTTTCATATTAATATTATCTATAATGCATAGATTCCAAATATTATCTTCACGTAATAATCTTTTTGACATATTAATATTACTAATTTGTTATCTTTCTAACTTTCTTTCATAATGATCAGTATGAGAAATTATATTTACAGTATATAGAATTACATAAAGAGAGCTTAATAATTTAGGCTTTTTACAAAGAGAACTTATTACATGTGAAAACCAAATATTGATGCCTGGAAATGCTATTGAAAAAACTAATGACATTATAAAGATTGAAATTTTTATAGCTCTCATAGTATTGAACTCTATTAGAATAAGTTTATATTATATGCATTTTTTTTGTATTACTTCCCATTTTTTTTGCAAAATAAAATTAATAAAGTTGTTAAATAGTTCTTTTATCAGTTTAGAAAATTTATTATAAAATTCTTGTAAAGTTCTTGATATTTCAAGTATTTTTCTCTGTGTGCATATCTCTGATCTTGATCTCTAAATAACAGTTCCTAAAGCTTCTTCTAATTCTTGTGACTGATTTATTATAAGCTTAATATATCAGTTTTTCTCTTTTAATTTACGTAAATTAACTTTCTTCATATGAAGTGTAGCTCTAATTCCAAAATATATTAGTAGATTTATTTGTATAATTTGGTCTGTATTTATACTATCACTATTTATTGAATTCTTAGTATTAAATATACTTGTTTTTTTGTCTAAAAATCTAATAACAGCTGACCAGACTTCTTCTAAAAATATAGCTTGGAGTTGTTGATCTTGATCTGTTGACATCTCTTGAATCCATCATCCCAAAAAATAAAGAGAAAGTTGATTATCATTTACATACTTTTCAGTACAAGAAAATTATGGTAAGTCTTTTTCTTTTCATTGAAAAAATGTCCATCTTTATTATTAAAATAATGAGAGCAAATAAATTTTGATCGTGTTTGACTTGTAGATGATTTGATAAATTCATGATCCTTCTCAATAAATACTGGACAAACTTTTAATCCTGCACATAGAATACAAATATTTTACCCAAATATTTTCCATAAATGCTGGATATAACATCCTTCTCAACTGAAAAAATATTTATCACAATTGCAAAACATACATTTTCGCTTATGAATTCAACTTTTATCAATCGAGATGTGATGCTTTGATTTGGCTAAATAAAGTTTACTTTGATCAAAATTAAAATGGTTGATGCAGACTCCTAAATTAGTTAATACATTTTCTATTCCTGCTTTAAGTGCTATATTTAAAGCTGAAAACCTAATTCTCAAATCCCCATAAGTTGTTTAATTGGTCTATATACAGGATTCAAATAATATTAAAAATATCCTTTGACATAATTAATAATAACACATTAATTATTATTATTACTTCGATTAATATCTGTCTTATTGCTGTTATCTATTTTATAATTAATTGCATGACTATCATCTGTTAGTAAAGTCCACATAGACTCAACCTCTGATTACAAGTTAACATTTAATGTTAACTAATTAATATCCCTTTCATCTTGTTCTAAATCTTCAAGAGTGGATGTTGCAAAAGTTTTTGCATAATTTAGTGCTCTTTCATCAAAAGTAATATTATTGATAATATATTTGTTATCTATTATTATACTTTTATTAGTTATGATTTTTGAAGTTGATATATCAGACACATTTTCAAGATAGCTTTCATTGTTATTTAATATTTCATAATCAATATCAGGATCAAGATATTCTTCATTCATATATTTGAGCCATTCATTATCCATAACTTTAAAAAAAGTAGTTTGAAAAAAAGATATGAAATATAATGATAACTGACAAATTAATTTCTTGAAACAAAAAAAATAGTGATAGCGATAGTAATATTATATTGTTAGTATTATTAGAAGCAAGAAATTAAACAATATCAATATATCTAATCCAAAGCCAAGATTTAAACATGAATACTCGTAATTAAAAAAAGGAAAGCTTGAATGAATAATGATAATAATAATTAAACTATCACTATTTATATAATAATATCAATATTGATATTGATAATGTATATACAGAAGAATACCTGTTATTTTTTCCTATTTCTACTTTGTATATTATATTACTATTACGTGATTTCATTTGCTAACACATGATAAATTACTAATCATATAATTTCAATCAGTCATGTGATAATATACCACTTCATTAGCTTTGAATTACGATTCTTTTAAAATAAATACATATATAAAAGCAAAACTTGCACCTATGTAAAATAGAGATTTGGTGCTTGTTTTTATACTAATTAAACACCTGGATTTACTTAGGTTAAAGAGTGTAATACAAAAAATAAGTTCTTTAATTATCTTTTTTCATATTAAAATCCAGAAAAATGATCTGTATATTTATTATAAACATGTATCAGATCACAAAATTTGGGGACATTTCCATTAATCATTAAGAAATAAATAAGATTCCAAACTGTTTGATTCTAGAGAGATCCGGTTCTAAGAAAAAACCAAATCAAAAATTTTGGTTTGATTCCAGTTCCAAACCAAAAATCTCATTTCGGTTCTGGTTCTAGAAAAAACTGAACTGAAATACATGTATAATGCAAAATAGTAATCTTTTTTAATGCAAGTTGTGACTACATCTATTATTTCAATCAATTCAACTCAAAGATAGGATCAAATACTCATCATTATAATGAATGTTACTGTTATTAAAAGAATAGATATTATAGTAATTATATTGAATATCAAGAAATTGAGTACTGTATTTCAAATATCACAAACAAATTTATAATGATGAGTTGTCTAGCAGTGATAAAAATATTGATAATCTAATTAAAGAATCCAACAAAATTAATAAAACTATAATTATTCAAATGGATTCACTAACATGGCTAATATTTATAGCTTTGAAATGGGTGAACTACTAATAGAGTCATAATCTAAATTTACTGTATTATTAAGAAATGTTAGGATCCTATTCTCCAAAACAGATCATCTGCTAAGGAACTTTGAATATTTATTAATTTTATTTTCGCTGCAAATAAAGAATGGTAAAAACTGAATATTTTGCATTTTCAGTACTACAACTCTTTTGAATATCCTAAATCAAATGAAGAATGTCTTGAGGAAATAGAGATCACAAAAAGATATTCCTACAAATATAAACAAAAAACAGCAAATTCAATCAAATATAATTTATACTATTTGAATTCTTACTTCAAAATTAATATCAATCCTAACTGATACAGTATGCATATTCATTTTTAAATTCAATCAAAATTGTATCTATGATAGATCTTAAAGATATAAAACATTTAGGTTTGACGAGTGTTAGTTTGTTTATTTCAAGTGAAGATAAAATTATTATTTTTTTAAAAATTAATTTTATATCAATATATTAAAAATGCTTATTTGAATGTGAAATAAATATCAATTTTAGATCAACAAGCACCAAATCACTTGATTTTTGGATATTGATTCTTTAATTTATTACTAATTTTTTTTTGATACTTCAAACCATATTTAAAAGAAAATAATGAGAATACAAGTAAGTTTCTTATAAAAAATACTACAAATTCATAATTATAGTAAATACATTAGTTGTCAAGAAAATGATCATTTTAGTGAATGATTTAATTACCATTATAAATTTTATAAAACTGAATTATCTAGAATATTGACAGGTTAATAAAGAGATATATAAAAATCAGAAGACATTTTCAATGGATCTATTTTGAAAGACTTATTAATATTGAATATTTCAAAAAAAGCATTTACAAAGCATCATTATATTTTACAAGTGGAATAATAAAGAAAATACAGTTAATTCTTGATACTATTACATCCTATAATATGACAACCTCATTAGTATGACTAAACTAGTCAATCCAAATTATTGAAGTCATTTTTTGCTCCCGTTATTATGCCATATCATAGTAATTATTATTATGACATGTGACCAAAAATTTGAAAAACTTATATAATATCATAATAAAGAGATGAACACAAAAAAATTTAAACTTAGTTTTTCTCATCTTCATTCCTCTTTACTTATTGTTCATTTTAGATTTTATGTTAAGGTATTTTTGTTTAATTTATTTTTTATTCTAGTTAAAAAAATAAAATTCTGATTATTTTTACGTATTTTTTTGACATATCTAAATTAGAACTTTTACTGAAGCATCTGATGCCACTGAATCTTTTTTTCATCATCATTCTCTATGTTATCTAAGAAGAAATAATATTGACAAGAGCTATTATATGCAGAGAAAAAAAAATTTGAGAGTTTGCCAAATAATTAAAAAAGATCTAAGTAAATACACCAAGCTATTGTGATAATTTTCAGAAAACATGTATCTTTATTATCACACAACTTTAGCAAAAAGAAAAGTGATTAAATGTGATATATTTATAAAAAAAAAGGTTATTATAAATGAATACCAAAATTTATCAAATAGATGAAGCATTATGAATATAATATCTTTTTTTACCAATGCTATTTTACAAGAAAAAGCAGATCTTATTTTTCTTAATTAAATATTAGCAATAAAATCAAATGGATAATTAGCTCAATTTAAAATTTATCATGATATATATCAAATTAAATTGCATAATAAAGCAAATAATACATTACTTAACATACTTTCTGAGATATATATTACTTTTCAAGAGCTTCTTTCAATATATTATTCTAATAATATTTTTAATACTGATAAAATAAATCTTTTTTGAAAAATAGTTTCTAATAAAACTCTTGCTATAATATTATATACTGAAAAAAAAAGATTTGAAAGATCTAATTATAGTTATAATTTATTAGATACTGAAAAAATTCATTCACTATAAATTGATTATATAAAAATATTCAGCTATTTTACAAAATTAATATTAAAAATTTGTAACAATTTTGATTGAGTTATATTTCTTTAGCATTAGTTCTTTTTATACTATTTATATAACAGATTATCTTTTGTATTATATATTTTAAAGATTAATTTAATATCAGATATACAAATAATTATCCATATATTAAATTAATTAGATTTTATATATTATTATGCTAGTGATTACTATATATATCATAATTTCAAATTTAGTTTATTAATATTTTAATTAGATTTTTAATTAATATTTTCTTTACTATTCTCTGTGCATGTGTAGCTTATTGTGTATATTATATGTTTGAATTTTGTTTTAATAAAAGAATTCAGTTCCTAATAATTATCATTTTGATAGATTGAATAAATTCTTTAAAGTCCTCAGCATTTGGTCTGTTTTCTGGGATAGGATTCCAACATTTTTCAAATAATAAATAACAAATTTGCACCATCTGGGAATAATATTTGGTATTATAGGTCATATTCCTTTATAGATATCTATTACGAGATATATATCATGACTTCATTCACCAAATAGTTATTCACCTGTTGCAATTTCAAATATAATCAGCCCAAGGCTATAGACATCTGCAGTGTTGATGTATAGCTTTCGATTTAGCACTTCTGGACTTATATAAGGAAGTGCTCTACAAATTTTTTGGTTAGATTTTTCTATATTTGCTTGAATGTTAAATCCAAAATCAGCAATTTAAGGAATTAAATGTATTAATAATATATTTCCAAGATGAAAGTCACAATGTACAAACTTTCTCTGTGAATTTTTGTTATAATATAGGATAAAGTTCTAGTTTTTTCATTCCAAGTTAATTTTTCATAGTTGAAGTTAATATATTTGTGAAGGTTGTCATCCCTTACATAAGTTATCACTACTGAATATTCATTTTTTAGTTATTCCATAATAAGTAAACTTACTAGTAAGAAAAGAGCAGTTATATCTACATGTGTTTTGAAAAATTTGATTGTATTAGAAATAAAAAGTAATTTTCACTTTAGTAAATGTTTATTTTACCTTATATATAAACTCTATAGTAATTTACTCTGAATTGTATAATGATTCAACACAACTTCAATTTCTTCATTAAATTTATTTTTTTCATGATCCAGAGTAATTATTATAATCAATTGGTCCAGGTTGCTTGATAAATTGATCCAAAACCTCCTTTTACAAGATATTCAACTTGGTAAATCTTTTGTAAGAAATCCATTTGAATATATTTTTATAAAAATAATTAATTTTGTTACATTCTTTTATTAGTTTGTCAATATCTTCATGAGATAATTCATTTGTTTGTAATATAAAAACAGTTCTCATTTTCTTGACAATAAGTACATTTACTATAATTATGAATATTGCGAACTAAATACTTATCGCAATAATTAATGTCATTATCCTTTTGAAAATAGCAACATTTATTATAATAAAGTGTATTTGATTCCATCTTTTGAGTTCAGTGGATAAAATACTAAAATAATAGAAAATAATTGAGAGATAATTATTATTATTATATAGTTACATATGGTATGTATGTAATGGTAGGGATTCAAATTCTATGTGCAAACTTTTATTACAATATATTCATTAAAAAGATGCAGTTTTTTATTATTATTTTTTGTGTAAAAAGATATACATGGATTTTTAAATAAGTATTTATATGAATTTTTTTTGAATTCATAAAAGCAATGATAAATTAGTTATTATTTCTTTCATAAAATAAAAGAAATTATAATTGTTTTTCATTGATATCAATGATCTTTATCCTTGATTTCATATATTATATTAATATCGAAATCTGTTTTTTAATCACCAAAGAAGATGAAAATTAATATTAAATGTAATATACCTTCCTTTGAAGTATACTGTGTTTGATATTTTTAAATTAA